TGCTCATGGCCCCGCTCCCCGCCGCCTTCCCCGTGCGCATGCGCCACGTGCACCTGCCGCCCCGCCCCCGCCACCTGCCGGCCCGGCTCGGCCCCGGCCCAGCCCCCAGGCCTGCCCGCTGCTAGGAGACGCACCACAGAGCCTAGTCCTCCCGGCGGGACAGAGAGGCCGGCAGCTGGGGGCGCGGCGAGGGACAGCGCCGCCTGCAGGCAGGGGGGACGGAGCCACCTGCCGCTCCCCAATGTTGCTGGGTGGGGGGTGATCATCCGTCCTCGGCCTGGAGACGTGCGAAACGCTAGCACTCTGGGTTCAGACGTGATCCCTCTTGTTAGACTAAGAAATCGCAACTATGTATAGATAGATCTCTCTCTATATATATATGTAGAGAGAGATATCTCTATATATCTGTATCTCGAGAGAGAGATCGATCTATCTGTCTATAAAAGGTGTGCAAAAATGAAGTTTATTTTCTACCTATCGGGACTTTTGACCATCTTTCATTTTCCCCGAGCTGGAGGAAGGGCGCGTGTGCCCGAAAGCTTGCAGAAAAAAAGATGATTTTTTTTTTGTGATTTCTCAGCTGATCTAATACAAGACCAACTGTGAACCAAGAGCTCTAGAGTTTTGCATTTCTTTTTGTCTAAGACCAAATACATCCCTGCTCCAAACAACCCAAGAGATTTTACCACACCGTCAGCCCTCCTATGAAATATGAACTTTCATTTCTACCTAGGGCAACTCTTACAATCTTTTCTCCTTTGCCTGAAGAAGGGCATTTGTGCCCAAAAGCGTGCAAGTAATGTTTTTGTTGCAAAAATCTAGTTGGCTTAATAGAAGATATTACTTCTGCCATGACTTATGATTCCTTTTGTCTCTAGACTAATACAGCTACAACCTGGATACCTAACAAAATGTACAATAATTTTTGAAGCAGCTCATTGATGCAGCATATACAAAACCCAAGTCATTGTCAGGGAGTCTCAGCTGCCTTTTGGCTTCTTTTGTTACTTTCTTATCATTACTTGCCTGAAAGAAAAGTTTCCACTTTGATAACCCAGTTCTCATTCACTCACTAGCAAGTTATAGGGAGCAATATAAAGTGAATAAGAAGACATATTTGCATATTTATTTGCATATTTTTCAGTGTACAATAGTTTTTCAGCAAATATGATAACTTTGAGCTTCCAAATATGATAATTTAATATTTAAGACCTGGACCCTCTCTAGCCAGCTGTGTGCAGGGCTGGGGAGCATGAGTCCAGGTGCAGGTTGTGCAGCCCAGATTGAAGCCCCCCGCTGCATCCCCCTTCAGGCTGGAGGAGCCCACAGGCACAGCCATTCCCACACGAGTCCCCAAGGCCAACATGGGGTTTCAGAGTGACCTTTCCTTGTCCCTTGCAATATTTCCTGCTTGTTCTCCTTTGTCCTCCAGGGGTGGAGAACAGGAAACCTGAGGCAGTGAGGTGAAAGGAAAGCCCCATGTGGCAATAATCTCTGCATGAGGCTGAAGTTAGTTCCTTATTGCTACTTCCTTATTCATAGAGGCTAGAAAGGACTCTGCAGATCGTCAGGGCCAGCCACAAAGTCAAAGCATTCCTGCACTGAGAGTTGAACCCAGGCCACCTAGGTAAAAAAAAACAGGAATCCTAACCACTAGACCATGTGGGAGCTGCTATTATACATTTGAAGGTTGAGAGAAATGAATTAGACATGCTAAAGAGTTAGGATTTCATCAAAAACATATATTTCTTAATAAAAATATACTATAGAAAGGATGTGGACAAGTTGGAGAGAGTCCAGCGGAGGGCAATGAAAATGGTTAGGGGGCTGCGGCATATGACTTGGGAGGAGTGGCTGAGGGAGAGGCTGAGGGAACTGGTCTTAGTCTGGAGAAGAGAAGCCAGAGGGGATTTAATAGTAGCCTTCAACTACCTTATGGGTGGTTCCAAAGAGCATGGAGTGAGACTGTTCTCAGCAGTGGCAGATGATACAACAAGGAGCAATGGTCTCAAGGGAGGTTTAAGTTGGAAAACTTTCTCACTAGTGATGAAGCACTGGAATGGGTTATCTAGAGAGGTTGCAGACTCTCCATCCTTGGAGGGTTTTAAGGCCAGACTCAACAAAGCCCTGGCTCAGATGATCTCGTTGGGGGTCCTGCTTTGAGCAGGGGGATGGACTAGACTTCCTGAGGTCCCTTCAAACCCTAATTTTCTATGATTCTATGATCCTATGAAAAATGTAAAATGATATCAGGTATCAAGTACATAGCCCTGAGTAAGGAACTGAGATTCAGCTGGGATTATAGGGCAAAATCCTTTTCAGGTCACCCCAAACCATGCATCTGGAGGACACTTCTGAATAAGTCTGAGCAGGGCGCTGCCCAACCTAGGAACCAAGTTCACCCTCCTGATCTCTGCCGGACAGCTGCTCAGATCAGGGTTCTCTTTAGGGATCTTCATTTGTGACAGTTGTCTTTTCATCAAAGCCATCCAATCACGGTGTGGGAGATCTAGGAAAGTGTGAGTTCTGGGCCTTGCACAGGATCTGTGTGTGTGTGTGTGTGTGCATGCGCGCGCGCAGGGGTGCATGTAACAGCTTAATTTCTCACTTCCATCACTTTAAATTATCAGGAAGTTCCTTTATTTGTTTCATAGTTTCTAGGGTCGGAAGGGACCTGAGCAGATCATCTAGTCCGACCCCCTGCCATGGCAGGAAGAGCACTGGGGTCAAATGACCCCAGTAAGGTGGTCGTCCAACCTCCTCTTAAAAACCCCCAGGGTGGGAGCCTGCACCACCTCACTTGGAAGCTGGTTCCAGACTCTAGCCGCCCTGACCGTGAAGTAGCGCCTCCTGATGTCCAACTTAAACCTTCCCTCCGCCAGCTTGTGACCATTGTTCCTGGTCACTCCTTGCGGCGCTCGGGGGAACAGGGACTCCCCCAGCGCCTGCTGATCCCCCCTAACCAGTTTATAACAGGCCACAAGATCCCCCCTCAGCCTTCTCTTTTGAAGGCTGAACAGGTTCAGGTCC